TAAATGAGGCAGATACACGCTGCAAGTTAAAATCCATTTAATAATAAAAATATTATACCAACAATATTAAAGTTAGGCAAATACATAACATAAAATTACTATAGCATTATATTCACTGAGTGCTAGCATGCTTTTATTCGATATTATTTGTTATAAAAAATTTTCCTATTCTAATTCACTTAAGGTTTTCAAAAATTTGCTGAAATACCGTTTTGTTAAAAAGCGAGTATGTCTACATTTGCTTTAAAAATATTTAGCTTTGTTATTGTTGTATTAACTTTTAAAATGAACTTGTAGTAAGTTTTAAATAGTTATTTTATTTAAACGATGTTAACAGTTTTGGATTTACACAAAAGTAAGACGTCAATGGATCTGAGGGACGGGCCAAGAAATTGTGAGTTAACATATTTAATGATGTTCCAATAATGCCCCCTTTTTATTTATGAATTTTTTTTTAAATTTCTTGTGCTGAATATATCATAACAGACTCAAAAGTTCAATACTTTTAAAGTGTTGAATGTATGAATGAACGGAATAAACATTTCACAGATATAACTAAGCTCCAAACTCAGTTTAATCTTCATGCTAAATTTTTTTTATCTTTTTTATCATGCAATTAAACTAGGTTTTGATTATTTTTGGCGTTGCAGATACGATAATTTTTACCTGTTTAAGCAGTAGCTTACTTGCAAATTACAAAACTAAACAGTAATTTAAGTCTGAGGTTGTACCTGATTTGACTCTAGCAAATCCGGCCTGAGATGAATTTGCAAACACTAATCTGGCTTGTGCTCTTTTAATAGCAGTTTGGTCAAGAATGCGAAATTTTGCCAAAATATTATTAAAAAAATAAATTTTCTGACGACATCTTACTTAAACAATATCTAACTTTCTGTTCATTTCTAAGTTTATGAAACGCGCTGTTATGAAGAGTCCGATAAACTGCTTGATAAAATACGGTTTTATGCTAGTTCATCAATTGCGGACAGTTCTGTTCTATTGAAACTCATTTTTACATGCACCGAACCAATTATCTGGTTCGTATTCGGCAGCTGATGCTCATTGGATGTCACGTAACTCCTTAAAGCTAAACCAGAACAAAACGTTACTGCTTATTAGGAAACAGTTTTTAAAAAATAATTTCAATTTTATTATAATGTATAATGGAATGTCACAGATATTTTTCAATAAACCTTTCAAGAAAGTAACTGCTTCGTGTCTCCATTTAACATTTGAGGATATTTTTCTATTGGCGGTTCCAGCCATGTGTTTAAAGTTTGGTGCACTGGTCCACGTGGTATTGTTGAGAAGATCTGTAGTTTGCGTTTAAAATAAAATTGAAAATACTTTTATTTTGAGCAAAGTTTTATTGAATTATCTTTGTTTTCTTATATCGTTGATTGCATCATGACATTGCTTTTCTGCAAAAAAATTTGAAAAGGCAAATATTTAGAAAAATAAAAAAAAATTTAGAAACGAGTCTGGTCTAAAACGAGTTAGGTGTTTTCACAAAAATGCACCTTAGGTCGTTGATGGGAGATGGTGTACTTTATTTACTTGTACTGGCCGACATATCTGATGACAGATCAACTATTCTCATATATATATATATATATATATTAATAGAAAATGTATATAGCGCCCTTTAATGCAACTGAAAGGCGCTGCTTTTGCCTGGTGGAATCGTCGGGAAAAGAGATACGTCTTCAAATCTTTGCAAAACTTCTGAATAGTTAAACCAGGTTGACGGAGGCTGTATGGTAGTGAGTTCCAAATTTGTGGACCAGCAACGGCAAAATTTCTATTGGCCACCATCAAATCTGTTTTTGGCACCGATAAAAATAACTGATCATCTGAGTGTAATTGCAAGTGATGAATAGTTTTCGTTTTGTATAAACATCTTCCGGACAAGTAGCTTGGGCTTAAACCATTTTAACATTTGAAAACCATAACGGCAAGCTTGAAGATGATTCTATTTTTAATTGTGAGCCAATGGAAATCTCGCATAGTATTGCTGACATGGTCTTATTTTGACTCTCCGGAAACCATCTTAACAGCACAATTTTGAATTGACTGAAGACGATTAATCAGTTGATTTGAAACTCCGTAAAATATGCTGTTGTAGTAATTTTGAGTGGATTAATGCGTGAACCAAACATTTCAAAGTGTTATTGACTAATTTTTTTTATTTGCCTGAGTTTGCAAAGTTGATAAAACAATCTTTAATCAATGACTTTGTATGTTTATCCATTGACATTGCAGTATGAAATACAACGCCCAGATTTTTAACAGAAGTGCAGAACCCAACATTAGAACCACAGATGTTGATGGAGTTAATATTAATCTTTTATAATTGCTTTTTTAAGTGTCTTGTTTTCGTTTAGTTTTAGTTTATTATGTACCATCCATTCACTTAATTCATTAAAACAACATAAAAATATATCAATCATCGCATCAAAACTAAGGTTTGTGTTACCGCAACCCATTTTTTCAAATCATCCGCAAAGGCAAGGTATCTGAAACCATATTTTTCAATAATAGGAAAAACATCGGCCGTGTACAATTTAAGCAAAAGAGTCCTTAAAACAGAACCTTGGAGCACACCGGAAATAACAACTTTGACATTGGACTGAAAATTATTGAAACAACCCTGTTCCGTCCTACCATTCAAATAGGGCTCGAACCATAAAGCAACCGCACCCGCAACACCAAAACGACATTTGAGTTTATGAACAAGGAGTCATTGTTTGACGCAGTCAAACGCAGCGCTCATATCTAATAAAGCCAAAATTCAAACGTTTTGTGAATCCACAGATGCAAACAATTCAGAAGAAATATCGATCAGAGCAGTTTCAGTAGAGTGATACTGCCTGTAACCAGACTGATGGATTGTAATTAATCGGGCGATAATTAGCAATATCATCCTTATCAAGGGATGACATTTTTAATAAGGGAGTCACAACGGCATGTTTTAACGCCTTAGGAAAATTACCAGTGTCAAAACACAAATTGATGAAAAAAATGTGAGAAACGCTATGAACAAATCTATATATTGTTTGAAAATACGCACAGGAATAATATCATGGAAAAATGTCTTTGATGGTGAACTAAGCACTTTTTTCTTAATTTCATCAGCAGAACATGGAATAAAACACTGAACGAGTCAGACAACCTTAAATTACCAGGAGCATTGGGAAGCTCAAGCAAGGAATTTGTATGTTTTCTAACTTTTGTAATCTTATCACTAAAGAATGTTGCAAATTGTGATGGGGTAAACTTTATATTAGATTCATCGACTGAATGACTGGTGGAAGATTTACCTAATAATTTATTAATAGTTGCACACAATTTTTTAGGACTAGATTTATGAACAAGGATCAAGTTTTTGTAATGCAAATTTTTCAATTCAGTGTAAACAGCATTTTTTGAAGACAGAGCCTTTTTTCAAGGCAACTTTATTAACATCGTTAGGGTTTTTTCGTTAGGGTGTTTTCGTTATGCTTTTTCCAATTTACGACCAGCACTTTTCATACGTCTACATTGATCATTAAACCAGAGAGCAATGTGGGTATCATTGGACTTAACGTAATGCAGTGGGGCAATTACATCAATAATTGATTGCATCTCTTTGAAAAACAAATCGTAAATAACATCGAGATTATTTAAATCAAACGGACCCCTAATAAATGATTGAGAAACAAGATTTTCAAACAATGTACTGTTGATACCATTCCATGCCCGAAGTAATCTTTTTAATATTATAGGCTTCTTATAGACAAACGGGAAAATAACCCTGATGAAGCTATGGTCTGAATGAACACTACATTGAAATATCGTGCAATCAAAATACCCAAAATATGGGTAGGTCCTAACGCGGGTAATGGTTTACCAATAATTTATATATATATATATATATATATATATATATATATATATATATATTTATTATGTTATTCACTCCAGTGGCATTCCTCAGAGGATAGTACTGTGATAACTTTTTAACTCTCTTCTGAAATCTTTTTTAGGAACAATTTGTTTCAATCTTGTTGGAAGATCATTACATACCTTGGGCAGAGCAACCGGCTTATATTTGTACCACAATACCTTCATTATATATATATATATATATATATATATATATATATATATCATAGCATGTTTGGCGTTAGTTAACTTCCAATTCAACTTTTCGATTTTTTTAACGGTTGATCGTAAATCCATTAAATAAATTAAATCATCGATCAACCGTTGGAAAAATCGAAAAGCTAAATTAGAAGTTAACTAACGCCGAACATGCTATGATTTTCATCAATAATTGCATTTCTGATAGTCTTAATCCAATATATATATATATATATATATATATATATATATAAGATCTTGAAATTGCTTTTTTCATATATTTTTTAAAAATAATCTTATGTATTTTTTTAATTGTACAAATTTAGGGTCCCCAGATGCACGCCATCCTTCTATTAACCAGTCTTACGACGTTTTTCCGCGATTTCCACCTTCAATAGTTGACGCCAATCTTCACCATCGACTTACTTCTGGTGATCCGGGTGATCCAAATATTTCCGATAGGTTTCATCACCATCCAAGATTAAACGGTAGCTCACTTATGCCGCCGGCAACTCCTAGTCTGCCCACAAAACACCACGGTGATCTTATGAGAGCTGAAGAAAAGAATGTTTCCAGTAGTACTGGACATGGAGGGCCGTTATCATCGCACCATCAAGTAAAGACATTCAGAGCAATTAGGTGCTACCACTGTCGTATGTGCGATCAGGTTGCGAATATTTTCCTATATGATCTCAGTTAATTTTTTGACCTGTTTTTTACACAGAATATGTTGGAATTAGTAGGATGGCTAATAACGATCGATGTTGTTACCATATAAGGAAATTATATTGGAATTCATATTCTAGCACTGGAATAAAACTGATTAAAATTTAAAAATTATTTGTATTCTCATACATAAATTGTTTTTTTTTTAGGAATTTGTAAACAAGTCTGACATGCAGCGTCATGCGAAAGAGATCCACAGAATGGAAGATAAGGGATACAAGTGCGTCAAATGTCTCAAGTCGTTTCCGTCTTCGCAACAGTTGGCTCAGCACTCATTGGTTCACACAAATGTGCGTAAATATCCGTGCAGGTATTGCGATAAAGCTTTTAAGCAATTGTCCCACGTTCAGCAACATCTGCGTATACATACAGGTAAAATACTTGTGATCAAGTTATAAATTACAAAAATTTTTGATTCTGTTTGTCATTGTATTGTATTTTTATTTGTTACATAATCATCAATATTGACATTTTAATTTGTGCAAAATTATCGGATATTTGATGTTTAGTATTACGCCATTCAGTTTTCTGTTAAGCTGGGAAGCTGTTATCAAATTTATAAATTTTGTTGAATCATTTACCAATAATACCAATTATGGCTATCTGCTGATGACACAGCCATGATAACAAACAGTTTAAATGGTGCTCAAACTTTAATTGATCTGGACCAAACCTGCTGCAAATGGTTAGGTATGAAGATAAGAGTTGAAATGAGGTCTGAACATCAAATCATTCAAACCACATTCAAAACAACTGGTGTGCAATGTCCTGAAACAACGTCGATACTAAAACGACTTCAACCATCTATCATCGCTACATTCATGACTCAGAGATCTCCCGTTGGTCAGACTCAACAAAATTCTTGCCAGAAGTGCTATATAAATTAACCAGGAAATATCTCATTCAACAATTGCTGACCAACATAAATCTAGTCAGATGGAAAAAACTACCAATGCAACATGTTCTCTCTGCAACGCAAAATAGACGAACGTTTGTAGCAAACTGTGGTCCGCCATCAGCGCTTACTAAATATTTTAATCGCCGCAACAAAATCCTCTCATAATCGTAAATAACATCAAATCGTGCATTGAGCCTGAAGCTGTAGTTCTTGCGGATATTGAGTATGATTAGATTCGCCCACTGTCTTAACTATTCAACTCACTCAAACCAAATATAGCTATTGTCTACAAAGCCACGATTGAAATATTAAAATTGACAGTTCGCCAAGAAACCAACTTCACTAAATCCAAACTCTACAAAGTCGAAAAATACAAAAAATAGCTTCATAAATAACTTATTCAACGATTTTAAATATTTTAATTTTTTAATAAACCCTTTCGAAATCTCACCCATAGGATTTAATAACCAGTCTGCCAATTATAGAACTAGCTTAATCAATTGTGCGATAACTTCTACCTACGTAATATATTGTTGCAAAAATAAACCTTAAATCAATTTTTATTTTATTTTTAACATCTTTGTACACATTCATAAGTGTTCATCATTGATGTCTATCAATTAATTTTTTTTATTTTATAGTTTTAACTATTGTATTATTTAGTTATTATTTAGTTTTGCTTATTTTTGGCGATTGAGGAAATTTCATACGAATGTTAATTAAGAAAGGGTTTGTAATTTTAAATTTTGTAACTTGCGCCATTAACTCTTATATATATTGTTTAACATGGTTCACAATATTTTTTCTTCATTTCATTTTACCATGGTTTATTTTCAAAAGTTAACAAATTTTAAGTTGTTTAAGCCACTATATCATGTTTTGATTCTTACGTTGTAACAACTCGTCTTACTCTTAATTATTTATATACCCTAATGTTTTTTATATTCTTTGACAAATCAGACCCTGACGTTCTGTTGCAACATGCAAACTGACGATATAATGAAATGAAGAAAAAAATTGTGAAGTAAGGAAAGTGAGTTAGGTATGCAAAATATAATAAGTTTTGGAGTCATTTTTTAAATGGAAAAACAACTCAGTAGAAAAACTGATAAATAAATAAATAGATAAATAAACAAATAAGGGTATGAATAAATAAATAAATAAATGTATAAATGTTTAAATTAATGATAGTTAAAAAAAATAATGACGGTTGATGTTAGTGACCATCGAGATATTTGAAGTGTCTTGGAATGAAAATTTTATCTTGATAGGTTGACAAGTTTGAAAATTATTTTTGTGTTGGCAAAGGTTGTGAGTGGAAGTTCTGACTGGTGGTAGTAGAGAGTGAATGACGTAAATAGTATTCTACTTCCTTGAATAACCTGGAATCGAGTGTGTTGAATACTTGAGTGTGATGAAGGCTTGTATTGTTTTTTAATATTTTTATGCTCTGAACTTTTTTTTATTCAACCGTTTTTTTGGTTCTTCACTCCCCTGAAATATTTTATGTTTTCTTTATTTATTTTATTAAATAATATAATTAATATTTTGCTCGGATTAAAATTAAATCACACATATTTTACACCTAATATTAAATTATTAAATCAGCTTAACATTTTAGCCTTATTAAAAAGTCAGTATGTAGATTTGCATATTACATATTATCGCAACTATCACAGACATTAAAAATCTGAGGACCCCGTTTGAGGGACAACTTGAAGATTCCAGGAGGTGTAGACGACATTAAACTGGCAATGGATATAAGCAAATTTCTCCATTTAGTGGTTTTATAAAATTTGAAAACTATGATGTTTGTATCTTTGTGACGGATTTCGAGAAAGTTATTTAGCAATAGTTGAATTGATCCGAAAAATAGGCGTAGCAGCTGAAAAGCAAAAGTAAAGTAACTGCCGGCACTTGTCTCGATCTCTCAAAGGCCCTCGATTGTATTGGCTACAATATTTTGCTTGCAAAACTTGAATATTACGGAATACAACTAGGATCGTTTCAAAATTATTTGAGCAAAAAAATCGGTTTGTCTACTGGAAAAATCAACATTCAGCAACTAAATCAATTGAAGTACCGTAGAGAAGCATCTAAATGCCTTAATTTTTTAATATGCATGTTTTGCCGGCGATACTAATCCGTTTACTTCTGACGTGAACATCGAAAAATTAATCATCGACATCAACAGTAAAATCAAACGTGTTGTTTTTGCGGTTAGACTAAAATAAATAGACGCTAAACAGTGGATAAATTCGATTAATTATATTCGTCCGCGATTTAAAGTTAAATTACAAGGAACCATTTAAAATTTCAATAAATGGAGTAGAAATTATAGAAAATAAAACAATTAAATTCTTAGAAGTTAACCTGCATTCCTAATTAACTTTTCGACCTTAAGTTCAAAATATTTGTAGTAAAATGGTTAATACAAAATAAAATCTTACTTACTTAAAAATGTACAGAACATATTGTACAAATCAATTTGTGCTCCGTACATCACATACTGCAACACGGTATGGACAGGCACCTACAAAAGCATTACTAATCTGATAAACTTGATGATGAAGAGTACAATAACGTTATCAAGAAGTCAAACCCACGCTCAACAATTATTGGACTTAACTGACTTTCTTAACTGGTTGAACAGAAAGTTTACGTCAAAGTTTCAAGCTCGGGTCAAGTGCTACACAACACATTCGACAGTCCATACCGCCTCAAAAATGTCCTCTACAACCGGGCATACTAAATTTTTTCCGATATAAACATTTTCAATACTGAATTAACTCGTATCAAACAAGTTTTGCCAGTAGATAGCGCTTTTGAGAATCTTGGCGCTTTAATTGGCGCTTTATAAATTTTTCTTAATAATAATAATAATGTATATATATATTTGACATTTTTTTATTTCATCAAATCAAAACAAAGAAATCAAAGAAATGATATCAATGAAAAGAAATGATCTGGAAATTGAAAAGAAAATATGGTTTTCTTGTAATGATTACCAGTGACAATTGTAAAAATGAGAACATATTTTAAATATTTTTGTGCATTATATATATATAATATATATATATATATATATATATATATATATATATATATATATATATTTACAATATTCTATAAATTCTACCGAATGTTTAGCTTTAATATGTTTGTAGTTCGTTTTTTCAATTTTTCTCACTAAAGTTTTTTGGTGAACGTTTAGTTTATTAAAATTCAAAATAAACTTATTTTCCGAATTCATGCTGCAAATAAGGCCATATTTCGATTCCGAATGAATCATCATCAGTGCAATTTAGTTTATATAGGGAAATATTGATTTTGTCAAAATGAACATAGATGGAAATTGACTTTGTCAAAATGAACTTAGATGGAAATTAGGTGTCAGGTTTCTTTATTGGCTGGTCATCTTCTTTGGTCTCCTTTTCTTAAGGCCTATCTGTATGATGAATTTTGATAACAACAGATTTTTAAATTTTCATGATGAACTTGGAAAGTAATTCTATTTTTAATAAATTGAACAATTTCCAGAAAATTCTAGTAAAGAAAATTGTAAAGACAAACTTTAAACTGATGCGAACAATTTGGTAGAATTCATACTCATACAATACTGTATATTGTATAAAATATGGTCTTCCAACACACACACACACACAGACAGACATATATATATATATATATATAATAGTAGCATAATGACGATTGACAACCGTAATAAGTTGTTAATCAACAGTCTTCAAGAAGTGTTCCTGCGATCAACAAATGTGGTCCGGTTCCGCGAGAACGTAAGGAGGTTGTTAAGGGCCAAAATATTTGTCGACGGGGATTCCCCCTCTGAGGACTTCTCGATGATTTGGCTCAACTGAGTTTTTACATACAGTAGTTTCATAATGGCAAACGTAATGAAATTGTTTTATTATCAGGCGAAAGACCATACCAATGTGCTGTAGAGGGATGCTCAAAATCATTCCGTCAACTTTCAAGTTTGCAGCAGCATATAAAGGGGCACAACATACCTTTACCAAAATCTTACTCCATTCTTCACTCCAATGCATCCAACATAGTTGAACTGCCCAAAGACAAAGTAATTTATTACCTTTTTTCTTTGTTTGTTGTGGTGAAACTTTTCAACGAAATGACTAAATATGCATTCATTTTACTTATATTTTAATTGTCATAATGATGCTAAAATATTAAACAAAAACTTTTAATGATTGGTAAAATGAATTTATTTGTGATTATTTTTTGTTTCAAAACAACCTAGTAAAGTTACTTCGTTGTTCAAATGACTGCTTCTGCAATATTTTTTTTTTTTATTTTTTGTAGAAAATTATTTTTAAAGCAACTTTTATATAGGAAAATGTAAGTCACTTAAAGGAAGAATTTTGAATAAAATCTATTAAAACTAGTTTAATATGGTTTGGTTGGATTTGCTTTTCTTTTATAAAATAAGTGCATGACAATGAAAGGTAGAAATTTTGTTACAGTACAATATATTTGATGCAATTTTAAAAAGATTTTATGACTATTTTGTTTTAGCTTTTACTCTCTAGAAAAAAAATTTGCAAACAATTTAACATATTGAAATATAACAAACTTTCAAAAACTTTAGGCTGAAATTTATAAGAGCTTGTCTATCTTAATGTACTTGTGAGGCAAATCGTTTCATTACTTTGGTTCAAGTTAAAGACACAAATAAAGGAAGCTTTATTGAATATTAAATTTTCTGTAAGATTTGAAGCTACCACCAGTTACAAGAATACATTTTTATGATGTTTTCAGAAAGTAACATAGTTTTACCATGCATGAGAAAAGCTTAACTGATTTTTTAACAATTGCTGATGGAGAATATTGTTGTTTGTAGTTGCCGACATTCGTTGTATCCTTCCGCTCTGTTCAACCTTTTTGTAGTTTGAAATTATTGTGACGTGATATTAACAAATAATTTTATTGACGCTCGACGAAGTAACATTTTTGGTAAATATAAAAAGTACGCTGCATTGAGAAAATTAGAAAAGCATAAGAATATAAAAAAAATAGCCGGAGGAATGTTTGCAAAAATAAAGAAAAATAGGAAACACGGCAAAATTTAAAGCGTCACATTTAAACAACATGCGTAAAAAACGTATAGTTGAATTTCTGTCATGATATTGTCACTTGTGATTGCGTTATAATAATATTGCTTTCTTCGTTAACTCAAATATTTTATATTTCTGTAATGCAATTATTTTTTTCATATTAACTTTTTATTTGGCGTAAATTATAGGAATGTTTAACAACTTGTTTTTCACGACCATCAGATCCGTACAAGTCTTGCACGTCCTACTAACTTGATTTGCCAAATTTGTGAGAAGCACTGTGCCAATGAAATAAAGTATTTCCAGCACATTCATAAGTACCATCCCGATTTCTGGAGAGTTTTCTCGAGTGGCCGCCCTCTTTCGGATTTCATAGACGTTGACGAAGACAAATACTCTAACAACCAATCAAGCAGGTAAACATTTTTATAATAAATTTTAATAACTAATTTAATTATTTATAAAATATACCTAATTGATATTATTTATTTCATGTCAAACAAAAATGCCAACATGCATTTGCTCATTGACAGGAGCAGCAACCACAACATCAACAACGGCATGAACAACTCAAACATCAGCAACTGTCCACCTCGCATGATCGAAGAATGCGGAGGTGTTTTGATGATGGGTGGAAATGTAAATGTCATGGACGACAAGCGATCGCCACCCAGCGAACCGCTTTTATCTTGTCGTGTTTGTAAGAAATTATTCGCTAGGGAAGCTTACTTATTGCGTCATCTGGAAACAAATAAAGAAGACGAACAGCACAGATTAAGTTTAATTGAATTGCGCAAAGATAGCGAAGCTTACTTTGCAGCAGCACGTTACGACTCGGGTATCATGCTCAACGAAATAAAAATGGAGGGTGATTCCGATATGAGTGGCGTCGGAATTGGCAATGATACAGGTCGTAGATGTGGAAGCAGATGCGGGGTTAATGCGTTAACTGAAGAGAGGTCATCAATTTCTAACGGAGTGGATGAATCATATAGGGCATCGACGTCATCTTCTGAATTGCAAAACGTTGATGAAGGAACGGGTAATATTATGCGTTCTAGATCAAATAGTCCTATGCCCTCTAACTCAAATAACCATCAACATCACCAGCATCAACAAAATCGTTTAACTCCTTCGCAACACTTACAACCACCGCCTCAGCAGACGCATGTAGAAGAGTACATGCATGGACACAACAACAAAAACAGATGCATTAGTAACGCCGAAGATCAACAACAACCACAACCAAATGGCCATTCACAGAATATTTTAGCTGTGACATCATCTTCAGCCTCGTCGAATTCTTCTGGTGACCATGAAATTTTTTCTCCAACAACATCGTCAACAACTGTGGCGGTTCAACAGCAATCAAATTTACAGAACAATTCACCAATGGATAGAAATGGCAACAACAATGGGCAACAGCAAACCCTACAACAACGTTTTTATCCATCAGATAACATTCAACAACGTTTTGATGCGTGTCGCGGTGAATCTCTACCTTTCTCAGCAACTCCAGGTCCCTTGTATTACAGCCTGTCTCATCATCATCATGGTCAAGCGGCATTTTTTGGAGGCCGTCGTCGTAGTAACGAAGCAGAACAGGTGTACAGAAGAAGGTCTGACGTTATGAACCCTTTTTCATCTATAGACTTTTCATCTGGTCCAAGGGATTTTATGGGACGTGATTTTATGGGACGCGAGTTGATTGGTAGAGATACCATGACTCCTTTTTATACTCCACCAATTATGGAGCGACCAGCAAATTTAAATAATGGTAGTGGTGGTGGTGGTGGTGGTGGTGGTGGGGTCGGGGGTGTAAACGAAGAAGGGATGTTTTCTGGAGTGGGTGGTATGGGAGGCATGTTCGATGCCTCTACAGCCGGCCGGTTGATATCTGGATTGAGGTAGATGCATGTTGTATCGTTCTGATAGATTTTATGAATTAATTTATACTTTTCTATTGTTAATGAAAGAAATGTTTTATTATATTTGGTCGTTTGGTTTACTTGACGTACTGTACAAACATGCGTTTCAACGTGTATTAACATAAACAAGTATATAAGTATATTTGAACCTATGTACGGACGTGTGAAATTATGTTATTTAAACATGTTTATGCATAGAAGTATGTATTTATTCACATTAGTATATCTTTTAAATGGTTATTTGAAGTACACGTGCACATGTTTCACACGGAGATTTTTTCAACACTTGTTTCTCTTTGAGGGTAATGCGACTTAATAACGCACAGGTGACTGATTGCCAGTGTCGTTAATTTTGTTTGTATTGGTTGATGCTTTAATTTAAACAATTTTCAATTAACTTATTAGCGCATCCATGACCAATCAAGTGCGTTATTATCGGCTGTCTTCTTGAAGTTTCACAATTTTTCAATATGAAACTGCAGTTTGCATTTGTGTAAATCGCGGAGCGTCGCTTTATTCTCATTGATATTCCTTCTTTTTAAGAAGCCCAATCTCGATGGAAAACGACAGCCTCGTTAGAATCTGTGTCAGTTATCGGTACAAACTAACACAACCAAATGTGGCAAACGAGAGCCACTGTAGGAAATAACACATGATCCGTTTCTGTTTGACCTGCATTATTGTTGGGAAATACTGGATCAGATGAAAATATGTTAATGTATAAATATATATATATACTAGTAATTAATTTTTGAAATCTACCGAATTTCTAGCTAGAAATTTGGCAGATTTTGTATTTTACTGTATGTATACACACACACATTCACACACATACACACACATATATCTAAATAATATACATTTCTTAATTTTATGATTAAACAAAAAGTTTAACTTCAAAATTTAGTTTTTAAAGGAATGGAAAGGATGAGAAGATAACCAAAAGAAAACTTTCGAAATAGTTGTTGTAAGTGTCAGCGCGTTCTTGCTTCTTTTAGACATTAACAAAACAACCGCTTAATTTTGTGTTTCTATTGTTACTTAATTGTCTCCAATTGATTTTCTTTTACATTTTTTTTTTGCTAAATTTATTGCTCGATACTTTCTTCATCTAAACACTCACACAACACACAAATTCATGTGTGGTGTGTTGTCTGAGTGTGTGTGTGTGTAGCATTCATATATATTTATCTATAAATGTATGTATATATATATATGTTGGTAATAGACCATAATTTTTACAATATTCTATGTTCGGTAGAATTTTTAGAATATTGTAAATATATATATATATATATATATATATATATATATATATATATATATATATATATATATATATATATACACTTTTATTTTCATTGTCTCAAAAAATGTAAATAAAAAACTTGCTTGTCCAATTTATAATGTGCATTATAGTGTGTGGAACATTTGTGATTGAGTGACGATACAGTTCAGTTCAGACAACAACTTTTAATTTATTATTTCAATGAAATTGTTTGAAGGGGGGTCTCGTATAAATAAACTTTGGTGTAAATATTGTTCTTCGTCGAATAACATTGCCGCTATGTCAACTTTTATAGTGCAGCAGACATATTCTGCAAATTTGCAATGACAACGACATTTATTTAACAAAAACTACTGCTAAGGATAAATGAATGCAAAATGAATGATAGTCTTAATCAGTAATTTATTATGAATTTTTCCAATTCATAACTGTTACTCATCGCAAAGTTTGTAGAAAGTCAATAATGAAACATCTCTTTTTGTATTATTACGTTTGTGTAATGTGTTGTTAGCATTGATTACTTCTATTGGTTGCATATCATTATTGTTACGATTTTTCGTTTTATTATAAATTAAATTATAAAAATTTAACATAACAAATTTGTTGTGATGGTATTTTTTAATAGTGGTTCAATTATGATCATGTGATTGGCAGTGTTAAGTCTCCTTGCAAGGAACATCTTCTCGCATTCGTAATCATCACGTCTTTTGCGCTCTTATGGCATTTTTCGTTTTTTGGATCTACTTTTTTACTTTATTGAACAAAATTTAAGACACTGATCAAGTTGAAACTTTTTTGCATGTGAGATTTTGTTAACTTCTCTCCCACCAATGTTTAAGGTTTGTTTTGATATCTGAATACTTTTTGTTATTGAAGTAGTTTTATCCTAGTTGGATAGTTTCATTATATATATATATAATATATGATTTCGATATATATATATATATATAT